AGTTGAGTTGAGAGAGTTGAAAGAGGTTGAGAGCGGTTGACAGAGAGGTCAATACTAAAGACATCACCGGCTGTCACCTAAGAGACCACTCAAACTCACCGGCAGCTCAAAGGGGTCTGGGAGAATAGCACCAGGCGTGGTGTGCGCTCCTGCTGGAGTGCTGAGCGTGAGAGGGGGCTCCACCTCATCGATCCGCGCCAGGTGGGGGGCCACCTGATGGAGGGGGTGGGGGGAGTGGTGAGTGAGTGAGTGAGTGAGTGAGTGAGTGAGTGAATGGGGAAAGGAGAGAAGCGAGTGCTGGAGCGCTGAGCATGAGAGGGGGCTCCACCTCGTCGATCCGCGCCAGGTGGGGGGCCACCTGATGATGGGGCTGGAAGGGGCGTGGGTAAGAGCGTAGGTAGTGGGGAGAAGGAAAGGAACAAGTCAAGTGCTGGAGCGGTGAGCGTGAGAGGGGGCTCCACCTCATCGATCCGCGCCAGGTGGGGGGCCACCTGATGAAGGAGAAGATTAAATAAAATCTCCTCTTCACGACGCCTCATAAAACTACACCCTCTGCCTCCTTCCTCTCCCACATACCTCTCGCAGCCTCTCTCTGACTTGCTCCACGGTGTCATAGGGCAGAGCCACGCCCGCCACTTCAGAGACGGCCCGGATGATCTTCCAGTCGTCCCTCGCACTCCCCACTGTCGGCACCGCTGCCCGCGTCATCTGCACCCGCCCCTCCGTGTTCACATACGTGGCTTCCTGTGGGGGAGCGGAGTTGCACGAGTGGAGAAGAGGAGAGGGGTGAGAGGAGAGGGAGAGGATAGGAGTAGAGGAGGAGAGGAGGATAGGAGGAGAGGGGAGAGGAGGAGGGAGGAGAGGAGGAGAGGAGGAGAGGAGGAGAAGAAAAGAGGAGGAGGGGAGGAGAGGAGGAGAGGAGGAAAGAACAAGAACAGGAGAGCAGTAGATCACACACGCGCCTGAGGGAAAGCCTGCGCCTGCAATGCCACTGAGGAGACTCAAGTCTCACCTTCTCAGTGTAAGCAGCCCCTGGCAGCACAATATCGGCGCGGCTGGCACCGCGGTCCCCATGGTGGCCCTGGTAGATCACACACGCGCCTGCTGGGATGTCTGCCTCTGCAATATCATCCGCTCCCAGCAGATACACCACCTTGGGAGGCGTGCTGCAGGGGCGGGGCACGGCGGGGGCGGAATGGAGGGGCGGGTGGGGGGAAGAAGAGGGGGATGGGGGAAGGAAGGGGGAGATGGAGGGAGGTGGTGGCGGCCCTGGTAGATCACACACACACGCGCCTGAGGGAATGTCTGTCTCTGCCATATACACACTCACTGGGAGAGGCCAGGCCACGTGTAAAAAGTGAATTTTTGAGACGTCTCAAAGATCACACACGCGCCTGAGGGACTGTCTGTCTCTGCCATTTACACACTCACTGAGAGAGGGCGGCATCAGCTCCAAACACACACACGCCCACTCACTCACCGGGAGACGGCAGCTTGAGGCCCAGGCACGAAGCCAACGTCCAGAGAGGCCACACGGCCCGCAGAGAGGTGCAGCACGTTGTATCCGTTCCACCCCTCCCTCACCACCTTCGCCTGCGAGAAATGGGCGACACACACATGCGCAAGAGCGGACGACATGAGAGAAATGGGCCGGGGGGGGGCAGCAGGAGGGGAGGGCGAAGGAGGGGAGGGCACAGGAGGGGAGGGCGCAGGAGGGGAGGGCGCAGGAGGGCGGGGGCTTTAAGATGTCTCTAAACTGGAGGAAATGGGAAGAGAGGAAAGGGGACGGACGAGAGAACATGAAAAGCGAAGGGTAACAGCAAGCCACCCCACCACGCACCCTGCCATCCCCCGAGATGGCCCCGCCAACACCCCCATCCCCTCCTTTCATCACACTCCCCACAATCATGCCCCTACCACCCATCCCGATCCCTTCCCAGGCCGTCCACAACTGAAGCCCGGCTCCCAGTCTCGTTACACCCCAAATCCCCCACAGTCACCTCTCGTTACACTCACATTCGCTACAATCGTCTGCACAGCAGCCATCACAGCCTCCCTATCGGCGCGCCTCATCACCCCTGCGCCCACCACCACAGCCGGCTGCTTCGCCCCTGCCAGCACCTCGCAGAATGGATGCTTCCCCTCCGCCACCCTCACTAGCACGTCCGCCCCCGCCCCTAGCCCCTCAGTGGGGAAGGTGAGATCCAGGGGAGGGCCTATGTTCGCCACTTTGGCGCGTCGGCCAATCACAGCCTTTCTCAGGCGGAGATTCAGGAGCGGCGCCTCGCTGCGCGGGTCCGTCCCGATCAGCAGCACCACGTCAGCGTCCTCCAAGCCGGCCAATCCCGTGTTTGCCACGTAGGACGATCGCAGATCCGCGTTCGCCGCGCCTCCCGCCACCCAATCCCCATCGTCCGGGCGGAGATTATCACACCCGAGCCGGTTCATTAGGTCTTTAAGAGCCACTAGCGCCTCGGCGTCCGCGAGCCGCCCCGCGACCGCCTGCACCTCCTCCCCCTTAACTCCCACCAGCGCCTTCGCCGCCGCTTCCAGCGCCTCGGGCCAGCTGGCGACCTCTAATTGGCCGGTAATCGCGCTGCGGACCATGGGCGCAAAGAGGCGCTGGCGCTTCAACCCGTCGTACGCGAACCTCCCCTTATCCGTCAACCACTCCTCGTTCACCCCCTCGTTCAGGCGCGGAAGGATGCGCATCACCTCCCCGCCGCGGCTATCCACGCGGATAGCCGCGCCGATCGCGTCTGACACGTCGACGGATTCCGTCCCCTTCAGTTCCCACGACCGCGCCGTGAACGCAAACGGCTTCGACGTGAGCGCGCCGACCGGGCACAGATCGATCACGTTCCCGGAAAGTTCGCTCGTGAGCATGCGCTCCACGTAGGTTCCGATCTCCGAGTCGCGCCCGCGCCCGGTGATCCCTAGGTCCTCCACCCCCGCTACCTCCTTCGCGAATCGCACGCAGCGCGTGCAGTGGATGCAGCGCGTCATGACCGTTTTCACGAGCGGACCGAAGTTCTTATCCTCTACACTCCTCTTAAACCCGTAGAACCGACCCCGATCGCTCCCGAATTCCATGGACTGATCCTGCAGGTCGCACTCGCCGCCTTGATCGCAGATCGGGCAGTCGAGCGGATGGTTAAGGAGGAGAAACTCCATGACTCCCTCGCGCGCCTTTTTGACGAGCGGCGTGGTGGTTTTGATTTTCATTCCCGGCATGGTGGGCATGGCGCAGGACGCGACGGGCTTGGGGGCTTTCTCGATCTCGACGAGGCACATGCGGCAGTTGCCCGCGATGGACAGCCGCGGGTGGTAGCAGAAGCGCGGAATGTCGATCCCCGCCGCGTCGCACGCCTGTGGGAGCGCGCACGGGGGGAGTGGGGAGTGTGGCGGGGGGGAAGCGGGTCGTAGGAAGGGTGGGGAGAACGGGTGGGGAGGGTGGGGAAGCGGGAAAAGGAGGGGGAGAAGCACCGGGGGAGGAGGGGGGGATCTGATGAGCACGCGCGGATGGTTGCAGCAGAAGCGCGGGTAACGATGGCGGCTGAGTCGCGGGCCTGTCGGGGCGGTGCCCAGCGGATAAAGTTCAGACAATCTTTTAGGCGCCTCAAAAATCGGATGAAGTTCAGACTTTTAACGTTGTGAAAACGACCAGGGATCGAATGTCCAACTCCAGAGATATCGTTTTCCTGTCGCGTGGCACTGCCAAGTAACAAAAAAAAAAAGCCAAAATAGAAAGAATTGAATCTGATGCATAGATTCAACAATCTGGCAGTAGAAACGAGGGATGAGTGGCGATCCGATGTAGGAGAGCAATGGAGCTACAGAGGGAGGGGGGTAGATGTGACAAAAGAAAAGCACTTCAAACAACCGACCTACCTGACCTCTCACTTCTGTCACCTTCACTCACACGCCACTACATGACTCTCACCCAACGCTCACCTGCAGGACCGTGGAGCCCTTGGGAATTTGCAGGCCCTTCCCATCGACAAACACTTCGATGTGATCCGGCGGGGGGGAGGCGGGTGGGGGAGGAGCGAGAGCAAGGGAGCGAGGGACATAAATGCGAGTCAAAAACATCGCAATAATAACCTAAGTCTGACCTGCAGGACCGTCGAGCCCTTGGGAACGTGCAGGCCCTTCCCATCGACAAACACTTCGATGTGATCCGGCGGGGGAGGCGGCGGAGCAGCGGGTTCCGCCGCCGACTGCGCCGCGGCCGCCGGGGCGCCCGCGGACGCGGTGGGGGAAGGCGCGGGTTTCAGCAGGGACGCGGCGGAGGTGATCGTGCGGAGGATCGACAGCGGAGCGGCGGGGGAGTCGTTGGCGGAAAGGCGGAGGGATGGCGCGGAGTGGGTGGTGGACGTGGCGGATCGGGGGGAGCGGGTGACGGAGCGGGAGAGGATCTGCGACGCACGGCGCGCCGACGATGCCTTGACGACGCGATACATGGTTAAAGACGTTGAGAATCCACACGGAATGGGTGAGGCCGTGCGTGATAGGAAGTGTTACGTGTAGTGCAGAAAGGATGAAAGATTGACGCGGGAGAGGAACAGAGAGAGCGGCGCGACGCGAAGGCAGCGCAAAAACAGCAGCCCGTAGACGCGCTGACGCCCTAACGCGGCTGCAGGAAACGCAGCGGAGCTGGCGGGAATGGAATAACTAGCACGCTCAAGCAACCCTAAACGTGTGGCGGGAGAAAGTGGCGGAGAGGGGGAAGCGGAAAGTGACCGAGACGCGCAGAGGGGAAAATTGCGGGAACCGCCCGCCTGACTCCTCGATAACTCAAACCTTGCGCGAAGCTCCCAATAGCAGTAAGGGAAACACTTACTGTCAAATACAAATATATACTTGTAAGGATTGCCAAATTCTCTACCTAGAGCGATAAATAGTTTCACAAAAGAAGGCACACAGCACATAAAAAAACTGCACTACTACCCCAACCCATTCTCTTTGGAGCCAAACATGGTAAATAACCATCCCTCATCTCAAAGCGACAGCTCATCATCGTCGTCCGGTTGAACCTTCACCTGTGCTCTTCCCAGTGATGCCATCCCTCCCAGTCTCGTCTTCCTTGCCCGGCCAGCCCGACTAGCTCCCCCAAGCCCCACACCTGCGGTTGCCCCCAAACTCGTACCACTACCCACATTCGCCCGCCTTTTACCCAGAAACGCATTCTTAGTAGCCCGGATGGTCGTCATCCCTTCTCCTGTGCCATCATCGTCGCCACCCTTCCCTCCCAGTCCCATATCACCACCACCACCACCATCACCACCACCACCTCCCCCAGCGGCTGATTCCGATCCTTCCAATCCCGATGCATCAAATCCAAATGTACTTGTCTTCCCTCCCATCCCTCTCGCATTCGGCCTACCAGCCTTTCCCGTCACACCACCCGCACCGCTCAACCTCCCACTGAATCTCCCGCTCAGCCGCCCGGCCTTCCCTGCCCCTGCCCCTCCAAAGGCGCCAGCAGCACCAAGCCCAGAACTCGCAGCTGACGAATCAGATTCGTCCACATCAGAAGCATCAGAGGACTCTGAGGCATCACCACCGTTAGCTCCAGTTGCAACACCACCAAGCGCAGTGGCAGCTTCTGAATCCTCATCATCCTCTCCCATGCCGCCCCTGCCAGCAGCACCAGAATCACCAGCGGCAGCACCAGCAGCACCAGCAGCAGCAGCAGCACCCCGGACAAACCGGCCCTTGTTGAAACCTGCCGCTGTCCCCACTGCAACATCCGCATCCGCATCAGCATCATCACCATCACCAGCATCCACATCAGCACCATCACCATCCCCAGCACCAGCATTGCCAGTAGCAGCAGACGATGAGCCATAGTCATCCTCCCCACCCACTCCTCCCCCACTGCTGCTGCTGCCAAACCTGCTCCTGGATAAGCCTCCCCCAGTCACCCCCTCCTCTTCAGTGCTCCTCAGTGCATCTTCCACTGCCGACTGTGCCGTGCTCTTCCCCGCCTCAAACCCCTCCGCCTCCCCTCCTTCCCCTCCTCCTTCCCCTGTCGCCTCTCCAGACGCTTTTGTGCTCCCACCGCCACCAAACATGCGAGATACAAAGCCAAACAGACCGCCACCAGCAGCAGCAGCTGGAGGAGCAGAGGAAGAGGAGGAGCTATCCCCCCCCTCGCCCTTCCCTGCCTTGGATCCAACCACAGCCTTCCCAGACCCCACACCCCCATCCTCATCCACCTCCTCTCCCAACCCCTCACTCTCTGCACCGCCCATACTTTCCATGCCATCCCCACCGTCCATGCCAGAAACATCCCCTGCTGAGGCGTCTCCTGTTGCCTTTCCGCCTGTGCCCTCCCCCTCCTCCCCGTACGGATCTGCTGCTGTCACACCGCCTCGCCTGCTGCTGCTGCTGCTGCTGGCGGTGCCAAACCTGCTGCTTCCGGCTCTGTTTCTCGCTCCAAACAACCCACTCGCGCCACTGCTGCCGGTGCTGGAGCCGCTGATGCCAGTGACGGAGTCAGCTGCTACCCCTTCGCTGTAATCATCTGTGGCAGCAGCAGCACCAGCAACACGACCAGCAACACCAAAGCCACCAGTGCCAGCAGCAGCATCAGCAGCAGCAGCAGCAGCGCCAGCAGGGTAGTCATTATCCCCATCCAGACCCAGACCTTGCTGCTGCTGACCTGCCCTTGCTCCAAACATCCCACCTGCTCCCACTCCTCCTGCTTGCCCCCTCTGCGTCTGCGTCTGCTGCTGCTGCCAGAGGCTCCCAGACCTACCTCCCAAACGGCCAGCCACACCACCAGCCATGCGACCAGCCATATCACCGCCCACTCCACCACCCATTCCACCAGTCATCCTCCCGCCCCTCACCCCGCTTCTTGCAGCAACACCCGTGCCTGCCATTCCCCCCGCCTCCTCATCTGCCCCACCCATCTCATCTTCCCCACCCAGAGCCCCACCGCTCATCCCTCCTGCGCCCATCCCCCCTGCACCCATCCCCCCTGCGCCCATCCCCCCTGCACCCATCCCCCCTGCGCCCATCCCCCCACCACCCATTCTCCCAGCCGCTGCTGCGCCTGCAGCACCCCTGAATGCACCTCGGGTTGCTGCCGCTGCCCCTGAGGTTCCCCTTGCCACTCCTCCCAACCCACCACCACCGCTCTGTCCATAGTCCTCATCCGTTTCAGCCCCTCCCACCATCCCAGTACCCATGCCTGCACCGAGATTTGAACCAGCACCAGCAGAGGCACTCCCTCCTATCCTACCCGCTCCCCCCACGCCCCCCATTCCGCCAAACCCAGCGCTCGTGGCCCCTAACCTGCTTCTCCCCCTTGCAGGAAGTCCCCCTGCGCCCATTCCACCCATGTTACCCATAGCGCTGCCTGCACCTCCCCCAGCAGCACCGCCAGCAGCCATACCCATACCCATGTCATCCTCTCCGTCTAAATCCGCTGCTTGCCCCAACCCCCCTCCAAACCCACCTCCCATACCTCCCCTCCCTCCCCTGACACCTCCCTGAGCCCCCCCTGCAAAGCCACCAGCACTGCTTCCGCCTCTTCCCCCAAACGCAGCGGCACCTCCCCCCACGCCTCCCCCAAACGACCTGCCTCCCCCTGCTGCTCCCCCTGCTACTCCCCCCGCTGTTCCCCCCGCTGCTCCCCCTGCTACTCCCCCCGCTGTTCCCCCTGCTGCTCCACCATAAGCATCCTCGACATCATCATTAACAACTCCTCCTGTCATCCCGCCCGTTCCTCTCCCCCCCCCAGCTCCCGCTCCCATTCTGCCCATTCCTCCCACGCCCCCATTGCCTCCTAGTCTGTTGCTCCCCGTGTCTGCCCCTCCCCACCCCTTCCCGCGCGGCTGCTGCTGCTGCTGCGCCGCTCCCCCCGCCCATCCTCCCCTTCCGCCGCCCCTGCCTCCGCTTTGCCACGTGTCCTCCGCGTCACTGCCCGCGCTGCCCCCTCGCGCCCACTTGCTGCTGGAAGCGAGGAGGAAAACAGGAGAAGAAAAAAATAAGCGTACATGTCAGAGACACAGCCATTCATGTCAGAGACACAGCCATTCATGTCAGAGACACGGCCATTCATGTCAGAGACACAGCCATTCATGTCAGAGACACAGCCATTCATGTCAGAGACACGGCCATTCATGTCAGAGACACAGCCATTCATGTCAGAGACACGGCCATTCATGTCAGAGACACAGCCATTCATGTCAGAGACACAGCCATTCATGTCAGAGACACAGCCATTCATGTCAGAGACACAGCCATTCAAGTCAGAGAAGCTACAGAAGCTCACAGACAATCTTGCCTGAGCATTTCGTTGTTTCAATTCCTTCTCTTTGCCCCATGTTATTCGTCTCTTTTCCCTGATTTTGCCCTTTCTGCAATGTTTCTTTCGGTTGTGTCACACTCCACATGACAAACCAAACCATAATAGATCACATTCCAAACCATCAGCTCAGCGCACAACATTCCGAACCCAAAACGCCGTTACCGCCACCAATCACTCATTCACACTCTTGAGTCGACTCAAAAGCCCCCACCAATCACTCATACAAACTCACCCACTTGTGGTCCTCCCGCCGTCGCCATAATCATCCACGTCAGCACTCCTCTGCCCTGCTCTTCCGCCGTATCCCCCTCGTCCGCCCGCCTGCCGTTGCTGCCGCGCGCCCACGCCTCCGCCTCCCCCCATCTCCGCCTCCGCGTCATCGTCTCCCCTGCCAAACCCGCGGCCCCCCCGCCCTCCTCGTCCGCCCCCCAGGTCATCCCAAGCCTGGTCCAGCGGGTCACCTCCCCCCTTGTCAAGCCCGCGCCCCCCGCGCCCTCCGCGCTCCCCGTGCTCTCCGCGGCCTCCGCCCATGCGGTCCGCGCCCTGTCTGTACGACGAGGCGGTATCCGCGTCAATATAGCCCCCCGCTCCCCGGGACCGCTTCTTCGAGTATCCCGAACCTCCAGAGCTGCCATATCTGCTGCTGCTGCTGCTGCCCCTGTCATCGTCGTCGTTCTCCCCGTCGATTTCCTCCTCTTCGTCAGCTGCCTTGCTCCGTCGGCTCTTCTTCTTCCGTCCCCATTTTCCCAGAGGACTGAAGGTCCTGTCCTCGTCTTCCCAGTCCGAATCGCCGCTTTTTCCGCCGCTCTTCTTACCATGTTTACGTGTCTTGCGCTTGGTGGTTTTCTTGGTCTTTCCCCTTGTCTTGGTCTTTTTCCCGATCTTCTTCTTGCTCCTCTTCCCTTTCTTCCCTTTCCTCCCCTTCTTTCCGCGTACCCAGCAGCAGTACTTTTAGAATACCCTTCGAGCTCCATACCCCTCCCCGTCTCCCGGTCTACTGGCCTCGCCCTGCTTTTCTCCTTGGGATACAGCGCGCCCCCATCGTCATCGTCATCACCCATACCCAAATCGCCCATCGCGCCGCCGCCAAACCTTCCCGCGCTTTTCCCGCTGCTCGCGAACGCGTCCACGTCATCATCCATCGCATCCGCGCCGCCGCCACCCCACGAGTTCCCGCTGCTTCCCCTGCCGGCGACCCCCTTCTTCCAGCTCGACGAAGCGCCAAGTCCGCCGCCAAACCCGCCGCCGATTGCGGAGCTACTCTTGCTCGGCCAGCTAGAGCCCGTGGTGGTTCCTAGGTCATCCTCATCCTCCGACATTTCGTCCCAAGACGTTTTCTTTCCGACGTTTTCCGTCAATCCGGTCGACCCGAACGATCCTGAAACCCCCGTTCCGGTGGCCGTCAGCTTTGACGACTTGCTGCCGGTCGGCCACGTGGAACCTGCCGCGTTGGTTGTGCCGTAACTGTCATCGTCGCCGGTACCGTAATCACCGTCTAATGAGCCTAAAGACGCGCTGGAGCGCGGCGCGGGAGCCTCGACGCGGAAATTCCGGAAGCCGACGAAAAGGAGAGCGGCGACGAAGACCGCGGAGAGGAGGAGGATCGTTGAGGTGGTGGAAAGGCGGAGAAACGAAGGGCGGCGAGAGGGGGAGCTCGGGGAGACTGGCTCTTCGCCGGGGTTGTCCCACTGGAACCCGTCCGCTTTGGCGTTGCGTCGCCCGCGAGCGGCGCTGGCCGGAGCAGTGGACGCCATTGATTGAGAATCACGAGATCATGTCAGGAAACGGAGCAATGTAGACAGATGTGACAACACTTATGAAGGCAGCGGAGTTTCTTCAAGCATTAGCTCAGTCAATCGGCGGCTGCCTTTTCACGAGGCTGGCGAGGCGACCAGTCCAACCAAGCGCTCCGACCAGGCGCGAGGAACAAACACGAGTACTTGACTGCTGCTCAGGGATGCGAGAAATGCAGCCCAAGAATGCCTGAAGTGAAGACTCGGAGAATCGGAGAATCGGTGAAGTGAAATCGAGGAGCACAAGTGTGGAGTGGAGCGGTGGGTGGGAGCGAGTGGATGATCAGACGATTCTTCCGAGGGTGGCGGGCGGGCGGATTTGCAGGCGCAGATGAGGCGCAGGCGGTAAGGAAAGATGCGGCAATTGGGGTTCAGGCGGGTGGTCGGGTTTGTGGCGCGCGCTGGGTGGTAGGTGGGTGAGGTGGGTCCGCGCGTGTGATGGGACTGGCTCCCTGGTTGGTGGAGCGCATGGCCGGCGTGCAGGTCTGTTCCGCTGCGGTGGGAAAGGTGGCGGAAAATCTGCGTCACTCAACCCCATTTCCCCCACACACCCCCCCAACCCCACCCCACACTTCGCGACACCCAACGATTTCCCCAGGCGCTGGCCACTGAAGGTGGCCAATGAGGGCGCTCATGGTGGTTTTTCTGTTATAAGCTAACCCATGACCACACTGGTACCATTTTATTTTAATTGCATTGCTTAGATTACGAATCATTGTTACGGTCGAAAAGATTGAGAACTCCCTGCTTATTTTCCACCTTTTCGGCATACTTTCCGTCAATCTGCTGCACTCCACAGCCGCGCGTTACTTCTGTCCGTAGGTCCGTCGTCATTCCGTCAGATCCTCGCCTAGTCCGCGACGCGAAGCCGTTCAGAGCCGCCGCAGCCATGGGGAGGGTTCCCGTGCGTCTCAAGGAGGTGACGTACGCGCTGTCGCCGTTCGAGCAGAAGATCATGCCCGGGCTGTGGAAGGACATGGGCAAGGAGTGGGTCAAGAAGATCAAGAACAACTGGCTCGACGTTGCGACCTGCGTCGGACCCATCGCAGGCACTTACTGGTACGCGATACTAGATCGTTTTTCAGTCGACTACGAAAACACTTTCAAGTGCGAGTTGGTCGTTGCGATCGCCCCCGCCTTCCATTATGCTCTCACGATCAGAAGTTGCGTCGTTGATTACTTCCGCTGATTCCTTTCCGACGTCGCTCTCTCCTCCGTTCCACGATCGGATCCCTCTTGGGTTACTCCGCCAACGGCGGGAGGGTTTCACAATCTCTAGATCCGCAACGTTTTTCGTGGGTTTCCATTCTCTTCCTTCCGTGTTGCGCCCGTTTGTCTCCCGTGTTCGTTTTGACCCAACCCCCACTTTCCCAATATTTTGCTCCAATGACGTCGCGCTCTTGGGCGCCTACGTCTTCCTTTTCATTCAGCTTCCACCCTCGCCTCTGCCCGTTTCTCACCCCCGTCCACTATATTTCTCCTCCATTCCATTTTTTTATCACTCGTACCCAGTTTATCTCACCCGTACTGCATCTTAACTCACCCCCAATCCATTTTACCACACTCGTCACTTGCTGCTGCGTGCATGCAGGTACGTGCAGTGGTACAACGAGCAGGAGAAGCAGCACCACCGCTGCTGACATTCTTGACGTGCGCAGCAGCAAGAAACACCTCATCGGTCGCGGTGAGTCTTATTCCCAAACTGAGGTCTGCCTTAGCACGCTGGCGGCTGGTTGGAAATCCACTTCAAAGCAGTTGCTGCACTTGTAATGTCGTGGTGAATCGTCCATTTGCAGTGATTCACTCACTCAACGCTTGCCATGTCTTGTTCTACTCTTGCAGGCACTGCAAGGCTTGTGGAGAATTACGGTATCCTATTGATGCGAGCCCTTTAGTTAAAGCGACGGTGCACATTTGCCACCCAAAACCCAGAACCCTGGCGAACTGTTACTGCGGATGGAAAGTGTCCGCACGAAATCCTGGTTTTCGCCAGCCAGCACTTTCGCGCTGGCAAGCCTGGTTCAAAAAAAAAACTTCTGAACCCAACACTGCCAAAAGTTGCCCGTCGCTTTTAAAGACAGATTGGAGATGCACCAAGGCATCACTTTTCCACATTGTTATATCAATCCACCTCATTCTAAGGGTACATTCCTGAAGCGCGTCACAAAGGCCTCGCGTCTCAATCGAAGAGATGCAGTGCGGTGGAAATGTTCGACACTTAGGTGTAATGCAGTGCAGACTGGTACAGAGGTTGTATGACGCGATTGAGACATTTGTGTCGAGCCGAATGTACCCTAAGAAAGACTTCATGACAGCTATACAGACAGTACCAGTATCTAGGCCAGCACTGCAGCACAAAGTTGCAGATTGTGTTCAGGATCCAGATATACTTGTTACAGAATTGAACCTCTGTGGAGTGGAATAGAAATGCATACACCACATATTGTACGTACGGTAGGTATCAGTGGCGGCAGCAGCAGCACCTTGGACAGTGGCATTCCAGCATTGGCTGGCACTGCACTGCAGTCCGCAGACTTCAGGAAGGTGGGAAAGGAAGGTATATTGCAAGGTACAGTACAGTACAGTACCAGTGGGCCATGGCAGAATCAATGGCGGCATTTGCTGCGAGCGACAGTGGGAACGAGGTCCACCACCACCTGCCCTTTGAGGCGCCTCACAAGTCATATACGGTATTACCATGTTCAGTACCAGTGGCGGCATCAGTGGCGGCATCAGTGGCGGCATCAGTGGTGGCATCAATGGCGGCATTTGCTGCGCACGACAGTGGGAACGAGGTCCACCACCACCTGCCAGGACCATTGGAAAGGGGAATCAGGTGGTTGGAACTTGGAATCGCAGTACCTACAACCACAGGTGACAGACGAAGGACTGGCAGAGGCAATGTGTTGCACAGAGGAAGCTTCAAGAAGCAGGAATGGATGTTGGAAGCAGAAGCAATAAATCTATAAGCTGAACAAGGTGGGTGCTTGGGCAGTGCTTGATGTGGAAAGAAAACGGGGAGTGTGGTGGGTGGGTGGGTGGGCAGGACTCACGCGGCCATCGTAGGAGAGGGAGGTGAACACCCAGGGGTCAATTGCGCTCCATGTGACACCTGGTGGGGGAAGGGTCCGACCGAAGGGACATTCTGAATCGCCTAAGAATTTTACTCATGCAGCCATCATAGGAGAGGGAGGCGAACACCCATGGGTCAATGGCACTCCATGTGACACCTGGTGAGGGGGGGATCGGAGGATGATCTTCTTTCGGTCAGCTAAAAAAAATACTCATAGGGCCGTCATAGGAGCGAGAGGCAAACACCCAGGTGTGCATGGTGGATTGTCATACAGGTGACGCCTGGAGGGGGTGAGTGGGGCCATGCAGGTCAACAACCCCATAGACACATAGAGTACACAACCGTAAACACATAGACGCTATCTTCATTGTCTGTAGAGCCGACTGCCAGTTCATCCACGTTCCCCCAGGGATACCCCCCTGCTGCTGCTACTTGTGACAAACAGACAGACTGCCTGGTGCCTCACAGAACCACTCAGCACCCACCGTAGACGCTGTCTTCATAGTCTGTGAAACTGACTGCCAACTCGTCCACACCCCCCCTGGGATACCCCCCTGCTGCTGCCGCCCCTCTTCCCGATCCTGCTGGGTTAGGTCCGGCACGCAGGTGGTCAGCCACAGCTGCTGCCGAGGCAGACGGAACGTGCCATAAGTTGACTGCTGAGTCGGTGCCGCTGCTCTGTTGGGATGAACAGGGAGAGTTACAGCGAAAAGGAGGAGAGAGGAGGGAGGAGAAGGTGGACGAGGATTATGGGGGAGTGCAGTTAAAGTGACAGCGGAGTGAAGGTGGGAAACGGGAAATTTATCGGGGCGTGATGGAACGTATAGTATGAACCGAAAACGGTGTTGTAAGTTGGAAGCGGCAAGAGGAGCAGGAGAGGGGCACAGATCAGCAGGAGCAGGGGAGGAGAATACTAGGAGCATGCAGGGATTTGGATGAGCAAGGGAGGATACTTAGAGGAGCAGGAGAACGGTACTGACCAGCAGAAGCTCATCGTAGAATCGGTTGTAGCGAACGCTGCAAGTCCTGCTCAGAGATCATGGCAGGCAGGCAGGCAAGCAGGCAGGCGGGCGGGCAGGCGGGCAGTCAAGCATGGGATGGGAGTACAGCCACTGGGACGTGAGGACGCAACAGGGACCACGGCAGGCAATGTGGACGGGAGCCAGGCGCGAGTGCAGCGGTCGACGGCAGCTGCAGGCAGCTCGCGTGTCAACGTTGTTAAACTATCATTGTTATAGTTTGTTAGTTTAGTCTAGGTGTTAGCGATAGCTGTGCGAGTGACGCGTACCAGTGGGAGTGCCCTGGGAGTTCCACAATCGCTTGCTTGGTGGAGCGCAGGTCCCACAGGCGAGTACTTTAGTGGCTATTGCTCTGAAAGCTGTTCCAAAACCGTACCAGCGCGAGTAGCTGTGTGAGTGACTCCTACCAGTGGGAGTGTCCTGGGAGCTCCACGATGGCTTGCTTGGTGGAGCGCAGGTCCCACAGGCGAATGCGCGAGTCGTCCCCCGCTGATGCGAGGATGTGAGGGTGGTTGGGGTTGAAGTCTATGTCCCTTATCTGCAGGTGGTGCGCTCCCTCTATGCTCGCTGTCTTTCTGCGAGAAGACACAAGATGGGGAGTGGGATGGAGGGACGAGATGTGGGCATGCCACTTACGTGGCAACTCCAAATATCTGGCAGGAAATGCAATGGAGGTGTTGGCAGCGGTCGCAATGGTGTTCGCAGTGGTGGCTGTGACGTGCTAAACAATGCACCAAACGCCACTCACATGGCGGCTCGCAGGTCCCAGCATGCAATGGAGGTGTCAGCAGTGGTGGCAATGGTGTTGGCAGTGGTGGTGGCGAGTTGACAACAGCATTCAGACATCTAGAACAGTTCACCGCACGTGACTCACATGGCGGCTCGCAGGTCCCAGCACGCAATAGACGTGTCAGCCGTGGTGGCAATGGTGTCTGCATTGTGAGGGTCCCATGCCCCCGTGTGCAGCCTCTGCAGCCCGCTGCCTGTCACCCGCTGCTTCGCCTGTTGATTGATGGACGATAGGAGGAGTGAGGGGGGGTGAATAGAGGGAAAGCAGGCAGCCACATGGATTGGGTAAAGGCCAGTGTGTGGGTACCACACCCCTGTGTGTAGCCTCTGCAGCCCGCTGCCTGTCACTCGCTGCTTTGCCAGTTGATGATGGACAATGAAAGGAAGGAGCGGGTGAGTCACAGGAAAGTTCAGCTTACGAAGCAATGATAGAGTCAAAATTGGAGACAATTCACCAGTAAACAACAGCCTACCGACGCGAACTGCGCTGCTCGAGTGCTGGAGGCGAGGTCCCATGCACAGATGATCTCCTCGTCAATGGTGATCACTCTGTGGAGTGCCACATCACCCCCGTACCACAGCACTCTGTCGGGCGCAGAAAGGGAACAAAAGGGAACAGAAAGGGAACAGGAAGGGAACAGCAGGGGGTGTATAAGCCTAATGGAGAATGTCGTCGATGGTGATCACTCTGTGCAATGCCACATCACCCCCATACCACAGCACTCTGTCGGGCACAGATAGCGGTGTATCAGCAAGACAATTGAGGCGTGCAAGAAATACAATGCTGTTGATGGTGATCAGTGATCACTCTGTGCAATGCCACGTCACCCCCATACCACAGCACTCTGCAGGGAAGAGATAGTGGTGTATCAGGACAGGATATCCTGTAATGGTGCACAATATGGCACTGTAATGAGACAGTGCGCGTTGGGTACACGAAAGGGGGAAAGGCGAGAAATATGACAGCATGGAAATGCAGACAGAAACACGAATAGGAAACCCGGTGCTTCTTTACAGGGGGTTCGAGACCCTTGAGGTTATTAGATAGAAAGTACTTGCTTTTTCACAGGAGCTTCGAGTCCCTTAAGTTCCGCGGCCAGTTGCAAGGAGGGAGCGCCAGTGCCGTACGAAAATGCCTTGTCCGGTATCCGCCAGATGGCGGCATGGTATTCGCCGGCGGAGGCGTAGACGGTGGAGAGCAGCGCGGAGTCAAAGGGACACGTGGCAAGATCCCAGATCTCGTGCTGATGCAGATACAGCCCCTCACACGTCACCTCTGAGCCGTCGTCTGCCAGCTGGATCAGATGCACCTGGGGGCGTGAAGTGGAATAGGAGATTGGAAAAACACGGGACGATTTACGACGTCTGGTTAGCTTTTGAGAATTCCCAAACACGACATGTGCGGGCAAAGCCCCTCAGCAGGTGACCAGGGAGCCATTGCCTGCCAGCTGGATCAGATGCACGTGGCCCCATTCCCAATCACATCTCTCCCACGCAGCACCTCTTTCTCCTCGCGCAGGCTCGGCGTTCCGACCAGAAACCACGTGTAGTGCTTTGAGAGGCCACAAGAATCCCAATTACATCCTTGCCAGTGACATCACTCCCATCCCCTTCAGCAATCCGATACCACCACCGTCACCTACACAGCACCTCATTCTCTTCGCGCAAGCTCAGCGTGCCGACCAGGAACAGCGTTTAGTGTTTGAAAGTTCTCGAGATTTCCTAGTCAGCGTGCCGACCAGTTTACATCTTTCTCATTGACATCCTAGGCAGTCACACCTCTCCCATCCCACGGCACGTCAGGTCACCTACGCAGCACCTCATTCTCCTCGCGCAGGCTCAGCGTGCCGACGAGGAACCGCGTGTGGTGCTTCTCGCCGGCTTGCGCCGCGATGCATCGCGCCTGAAACTTAACGCCGTACGTCCGACTCGTCCCCCCGCCGAACATCGACACGACTGATGTGCCAATTCCCCCAATGTCGGTTTTTTTTTTTCACCAGGAACGCAGATAAGCCGTTATGGTGCAGTTCGGTTCAGAGATTGAGCGGCGAGAGGAGTGAATGCGGAACGTAAGAGGAGTGAAGGTGCGGTCATAGAGAGACAGCACAGCACGCGATTGATCCCTGACAGCTGCTTCCTGAATGTTGAAAAGGTTTTATGAAGGAATTTCAACGGTTGGCATGATTCTTGTTGGAGTTGGAAGTGGTATATTTGCATCGCATGCGGTTAATTCGGGTTGCTCACGGTGCTTGCGAGTTACCGTTCCAAAGACAACCGTGAATGTGTGCGGGATGAAAGCTTGCAAAGCAGAAATGGGAACCGAAATTGCAGAAATTCGACGTCGCCAAACCAAACAGTTTTTACTTCGTTGTTAAGCTGAAACTGTACAACACTCAAATGGCTGGTCTCTAAAATTTTTATGTCAGCTTCTAACGAGCCATGGTTGGTTCCCCTTTCCTCACCGCCAGCTGCAAGACGAAGTGGTGGTATATTACAACTGCTCTCGTCCGTCACAATTCCAATGTCTCTCCTCAGTGCTCCATTCTAGTTGCAAAGCCCCGAACCTTGTTCTGTCAAGCGACGCCCTTCTCCCGCGACGTCTGCATTTCCATTTCGCCTCTCGTTCCCATGTTTGCGCTTGTATGCGTTCCGATGCTAACTCGCATACACCTTGCTAACACCCGTTCATGGCGCTAGCCAAGGGTTTTCGTTTTCTGACTATGCACTTGCTTTGTTTCCTGTTGTATGTCGTATCTGACACAAGACTCTTTCCGTGGCACAACGCCGATTGAAGTGTTTGCATATCACCGTGGTAAGCTACTCAACCCTCTTCACCACGATTTGTTCGTGACAGAATGACGCTCACGGTGATGAAACACACGTATATGAGGCCTTTCGAGGCCGATGCGTACCCTTTTTAAACCTTTAAGAAGTCCTGAGTGAGCCTCGATAGAATAGATGCGTCTTTTAAATTATTTTGGGCATTCCTGCCACGGGAGTATGGCTTTCATGGTCTGTTTCTCCTGTCCAAGGATTGCCAACAGTGAGCTTTTCAGCCAACTGATAGGAAGCTCTTAATGCATTTTCTGTTGCTTGAGAGTGCCCATTTTTGGCGATTACATGTGAATTTTGAGATTCTTGCCTGCTCTTTTCGGCCTCTTGAAGGTTGCTCAGTCAAAATTGATGAGGTTGCCTTTTCAAACGGGACGTGCTCTGTGGGAATCCATTTTCAATGCTGTATTTCTGGTTTTGGCTGCAGGTTGGTGCTGGAGTGGAGATTCGTCTGATTTGGTGGCCCCTCTTGGAACTGGTTCTGGTTGAAGACACTTTATAACATAATGTAGTGCTTTGTTTCTTTGAGATTGTTTGCTGCTTATAACCATCAATACCATGTTTATCCCAGAATTGTACAATTACCGTAAGTATGTCCACTCGATTCCACCAAATTTTCATCTTGGGCTGTTTAAGTGACCATATGTTTATGCGGGTGTTTGTTGTCTTTAGGAAATAGTAGACGTTTATGCGGGTGAAATAATTTTGCTGGCTTTTGTGACATGTTCTGTTTAGAAAGCGGTCTGATGCACAGCATCAATGGTCTAGCGAGGTAGTGAGTGTAACAAAAACATAAATCGTGTGATTAGTGGAGTGCACATCACATCATGTTTTTGCGTTGTACACGCTTCTGCCGGGGAAGAGAGTGGATGTGGCGGTTAGGAAACCAATGGACGGGGAAAAACATGCGCTCGAGGTGAGCGTCGTGGATCCGGTTTCGCTACCGGTGCAGCAGCATGGGCAGTGTGGGCGGACAGTAGGTTTTGCTGCCAAGGAGCGAGAGAAGAGGAAGGCGACGGATTATCAACCTTTTTCTGCGGCAGCACAGGGGGGTTCGTTTCTTCCCGTTGATTCTTGAGACTTTGGGGTTGCTTGGGGGGAAGCTTTCGACAGTGGTTACGGCAGCAGGGGGAGGTTCAAGTAAAGGTGGCTCTTAACAAAGGTGTGGGAAGGGGCAACAGCTCGGGTTTCTCGGAATACTTGGTGGGGTCCTTGACAGCCGCGGTAGGGGTAGCTTTGCAGAAGGCACAGGCTCGGGTGTTTCTTTTGCGGGCGGCATGCACGTTGGGTCAGTCCGAGGCGGAGTGGGTGGAGCGAGGGGGTGGGGAGCAGGAGTTTGGAGAGGGAGCACCATGGGTGGACGTGCCCTACTTGGTCGACATGCGGCTGTAGATGTCTTAGGAAGCAATACTTTGTTTCGGGTTTTGGCGATGGTCTTTTGATGTTTGAGGTAGTAAGACACTTCTAGGAAGGGTAAAAAAAAAAAAAAAAAAAGACCATGTTGTTACAGAGCACTTCAATAAATTTCTGCACAATAAATTCTCGGGTACACCGCGTTACGTCTAAAGAGATCTCTGACATGTTTACGAAAAGTGGCGCGCACCTGCACATTCTGAGCAGACCGACCCAGCCTCGGGAACATCTCGTTTCGATAATGTCACTCGCCGTCCGTGCTCCGTGAGGAAACATATTATTTGTACAAGCCAAATCAAGAGGGACTACAGAGAATGTTTCTTAGGTTCCTCCATACGGGATCGCTCTCGCACTGAATCTGGTTCCTCACACGCGTGCTCTCGTCCCCATACGGTATAATTGTTCAGATAATTACTCTTAGGCTCGTTAACTATCAATTGCAGCTGCTCCTTGCGTTGGCCGTCTAATCGCAGGCGAATTCGTTGAAATATCGTTGCGCGTTTCGTGTGCTGCTCCTTCGACCAGTGCCGATGGCCGATCTCTAAATGCTGATCGCGTTGCGTCGTAGCCTGACGGGTATTTCTGTTGTGAGTGCTTGACAGGTCAGAGTGCCTGTAGCCCTAATAACGTCTGTGGAAATAAGTTACAAAAGTGCCGTTGCGACTGTAGAGGGAGCGGCTCGAATTCACTATTCTTGGTTGCTGAGCCTCGTGCCTACAGTACCATAACGCTAATGTACGCGAATACGTTAGACCAGTTCATTTACGCGTTTAGAAATCCGAGCGCTGAGGGCCTTCGCAAGGCTGTGAGCAAAGCTTAGGTGGTTTCTTTCGAGTCGGTAGGTAGTTTTTCCAAACCGGTCCGCCTATGCTGGATGTGATTAAAACGAGGGCGTAGTAGCTCCTTAGGCTGGAGCCACTTGCAGGCCTCGAGTAGGCTGCGGCTCGAAGCTAACATGCGATGCGGGGGACCTCAAGACCAACCCCGGCATTTCCGCTGCGGGCAGAAAGATCGCACGAAGCTTCCTACCCGCCGTCGTTACAATCACATTCCACTTACTCACTCAAGATGGACTCCATCCGTGCTAGCAATTATTCTCTTAGCGAGCGTTTTTGTAGCGAATCATGCAGTGCTGGGTCAAGAGGAGGAGGCGATGATACCCGGGGAGGAGCGGTACCAGTGCGGCAAGGAGAGCGAGTGGGTGGGATTCGTCGCGGATCTCAGCATGCTGCAGCATCAGCTCCGTGGAACGGTCGAGATTCTAGACGATTGTTCGTTCAAGGTGAGTGATTTGATTACGAGATGCTTCAACAAGTCAGGATTTGCCGACGCATGCTCCCCCACAGCTCTGCGAAACCGTCGAAATCTCGAACGGTTGTTCGCTAAGGGCAAGTAGTATTGTGGGCTGTCGCTGTCGCTGGAGTGTAACGGCTTGGCGGCGTGGATTCGAGGCTTGGTACCACGTGTCACAGTTCTGGTACTGCTGAGTTGCGAATTCTTGCCGCATTTCTATTTCGTATGAAATCAGAAGCTGTCGCTCTCTGCTGGCTGTGCTGATTCCGTTAAATTGTCGTGCATTGTCATACCATTGCCCTTCTGTGCTGCCTGATGTTTCCACGAATCCTCGTCGCAGGTGACGCGGTTTGACATGCTGCCAGGGAAGGACGTGTACTGGTGGGGGGCAGCGTCCGCGTCCCTCACCGACCTGCTGCACGGCTTCCCCGTCTCGCCCAAACCGCTCCTCGGCACCTTCAACAGCCAGACGGTCGTGGTTAGTAGCGCTGCCCCCCAGCAATGCCCCTTGGCAGTACCCACTAGCAGTACTTCTTGCCAATATCCTCTAGCAGCGTCGGAATCCCTCGCCCACCTGCTGCACGGCTTCCCTGTCTCGCCCAAACCCCTCCTCGGCACCTTCAACAGCCAGACAGTCATGGTTAGCTGGCATTGCCCTTAACAGTCATGCCCTCTAGCGGTCATCCCTTCATGCGGTCATGCCATCATGCGGTCATGCCCTCATGTGGTCATGCCCTCATGCGGTCATGCCCTCATGCGGTCATGCCCTCATGTGGTCATGCCCTCATGCGGTCATGCCATCATGCGGTCATGCCATCATGCGGTCATGCCATCATGCGGTCATGCCATCATGCGGTCATGCCTTCATGCCATCATGCCATCATGTGGTCATGCCGTCATCCCCCTACCCCCTGACACCGCCTCGTCCTCCTCCATCTCTCTTCCCTTGGATCCCTAAACCAGGTGCGCCTGGCATCAAACGTGACGTGGAGCGACTTTAAGCTCCTCTCAGTGTGGTCCCGCACCACTGCATCAGACTACGGCCGCATAGCCCCAGCGACAACCAACCCTTCCCTTCATAATACTCCCTTTCCCTCCCTTCCCCACTCCCTTCCCCATTCCGCCCCTCATTCCTGGCAACAGGTGCGCTTGGCGTCAAATGTGATGTGGAGCGACTTCAAGCTCCTCTCTGTGTGGTCGCGAACCACTGCATCAGACTACGGCCACATAGCCCGAGCAACAACCAACCTTTGATAATATTCCCTTCCTTTTTCCTCCCTTCCCCATCTCTTTCCTCTCCCTTCCCCATCTCTTTCCTCTCCCTTCCCCATCTCTTCCCCCATTCCGCTCCTCATTCCGTAACCAGGTGCGCCTGGCGTCAAACGTGACGTGGAGCGACTTCAAACTCCTCTCAGTGTGGTCGCGAACCACAGCATCAGACTACTGCCACATAGCCCGAGCAACAACCAACCTTTCATGATATTCCCTTCCTTTTTCCTCCCTTCCCCATCTCTTTCCTCTCCCTTCCCCATCTCTTCCCCCATTCCGCCCCTCATGCCCTAACCAGGTGCGTCTGGCATCAAACGTGACGTGGAGCGACTTCAAGCTCCTCTCAGTGTGGTCGCGAACCACAGCATCAGACTACGGCCACATAGCCCTCGAGATCATCGAGCCCCCAGCGCCCCCGCCCGCCCCATCCCCAGCGCCCTCCCCCTCCCCCGCGCCCTCCCCCGCCCCCTCCTCCTCCCCGTCCCCTTCCCCCCTCGCCCCAGCCTCCTCCTCTCAGCCGTCCAAACCTCTCCTCCCCGGCGCAGATACCCCCTCCCCCGGTCACGCCCTCCCTTCAGAACCCTCATACGCACTCCCTCCAGAGTCCCCACCTGTGCCGTCACCCCCGCCGCCTGTTAAGCTGAGGGTGAAGCAGGGGCAGAGGCAGCCAACTATGTTTGACAACTGTATGCAGCTGAGTCATAGATATAGGGTGCGGTGGACGCTGGATGAGGCGAGAGGGGTCGTTGACGTGGGGTTGGAAGCGGTCGTGGGGAGTGGGCCGCATTACCTGGGGTTTGGCTGGGCGGACCCGGACAGTGTGACCAAGTTCATGGGGTTTGCTGACGTGGTGATTGCGGGATTCGATGAAGTGGTGAGTTGATGGGGGTAGGGTGGGGGGGGAAGGGAGAGAAGGGGGGGAGAAAGGGAGAGGAACAAGTAGAAAGGAGAGGGTGGAGAGAAGCAAAGCGAAACAGTTAGAGAAGGAAGGGAGGTTAGGGGACAGAGGAAGGAGGAGAGAGGAGGGAGGAGGTTGCGGAAGGATGGGAAGGAATGAAGAAAGGAATGTTTTGTGTCTCGATTCCCCCCACCCTTCTCCCCCTCCAATCTCTCCCTGCTCACCAGGCTAAACCATTTGTGGAGGATTATTACATCACATCATACGGAGAATGCAATCTGGAGAAGAAACCACCAGAGGGAGTGTGCCCCGACCAGCTTATGGGCGGCGGCAACTCGTCTCTCGACAACGTGGATTTGATTTACGGGCACCGGGTGGACGGCATCACTTTCGTCCGCTTCCGCCGCCCGCTCGTGAGCCCGGACAAAAGATTTGATCACGATATCGACGCAGAGGACGAGATGAACGTGATCTGGGCGCTCGGCTCCTTAAAGCCCATCCCATCCCCCTCCTCTTCCTCCTCCTCCTCTTCCTCCTCCTCCTCCACCTCTAATCCCTCGGTGGTAGGGGGAGTGGCAGGGGCAGCACGATCCCCCCCTGCCCACCTCTTTCCGTCCTACCACGGGGTTCCCCAGGGGTCGTTTTTCGGAGTGGCGGTGTTGACTCTAAGCCTGGCAGTAGATGACTGTCAGAGTGTGCTGAATCCAGCCGTTGGTGTGGGAAATGGAGGGGGAGCAGGGGGAGGAGCAGGAGGAGGAGGCGCGGGAGGGGCTGGTGGGAGCGCGGATGGGAGTGGCGATGAAAACGATGATGATGATGAGGATGGGGTGGGGGGGGTGGTGGGGAGCGGATGGGGGAAAATCGTCGTAGCAGACCGAGGCACGCTCATTACAGTCACATCGGGCAAAAGCACGCACTACCCCAACCCGCCAGCGTCGACCAAAAGCTTCTATGTGAACGGACACGAGGCTCCAGAGATAAAGGTGGAGAGGGGAGTGCCGGTGCAGTTCTCGATCCAGGCTGGGCATGATTTGGGGGTGTATATCACGTCGGATCCTGTGGGCGGGCGGTTTAATAAGTCGGAGATTATATTTGCGGGCGGCGAGGAGGCGCATGGCGTGCCGGCGGATCCGTACACCCTGCTGTGGAAGCCCACTAGCTCTACGCCTGACCTCGTTTACTACCAGGTGGGTGACTGGGTGGGTGAGATGGGATGGGTGAGTGTGACTGGTTGGTAGTGGTAGTGGTGGGCTGGACCTGTGTTGGTGCCGGCGGATCCGTACACCCTGCTGTGGAAGCCCACTAATTCCACTCCGGACCTCGTTTACTACCAGGTGGGTGGTTGGATGGTTGAGTGACTAGGTGACCGTTGGTGATGACTGGGTGACTGGTAGTGGCGAGACTTTCAGTATTGGTACAAGGTGGACATGGTAACGCCAACATCCCCTCCCTCATTCCCACTCCCTTCTCTTCTGCCCACCGCCCCCCTCTCCCTCCCCTCCCCCCCATTGTCCAGTGCTACTCGGAGCCCAAGATGGGGTGGCGCATACACGTGGTGGACGGGGGCCTATCAGACATGTACAACCACAGCTTCCAGCTGGCAGACGGGCTCGTCACCATGTTCTGGACGCTCACTGCCTCATCGATATCCGTGGCTGTGAGGGGCGAACACCCCTCGGGCTACATCGCCATAGCCTTTGGCAGGTACGCTTCTGTTGTGGAGGCCGATGCCGGGACCCGGCGGGTAGGCTGCTGTCTTGGGTTGCCTGGCTGGCAGCTTGCAGACAGGCTCGTCAGTCACCATGCTCTGGACGCTCGCCGCCTCCTCCATATCCGTGGCTGTCAGAGGCGAGCACCGGTCCAGCTACATTGCGATCCTTAGGCAGGTAAGGCGAGCTGGTGTTTTGGATTGCCTTGCAGCTCGTTGAAGGCCTTGTCATGAGGGTGGCGGTCAGGGTGGAGTGGACTAAGCAGCTCTGTTTCCCTCGTTCCACTCTGCCTAATCAGTCCTTTCAATCCCCTCCCTCTCCCTCCCCCTTCCCCTCCATGTTCCCATCAGCGGCATGGTGAACTCGTGGGCGTATGTGGGGTGGGTGGAGGGCGGCGAGGGTCGGGTGGCGTCCTACTGGATCGATGGCAAGGATGCGAGCAGCGTGCATGCTGCCAGGGAGGCGCTTGATATGAGCAAGTGCATGCAGGTGGGTAATCAAGAGGGCAGGGTGCATGCAGGTGGGTAATCAAGAGGGCAGGGTGCATGCAGGTGGGTAATCAAGAGGGCAGGGTGCATGCAGGTGGGTAATCAAGAGGGCAGGGTGCATGCAGGTGGGTAATCAAGAGGGCAGGGTGCATGCAGGTGGGTAATCAAGAGGGCAGGGTGCATGCAGGTGGGTAATCAAGAGGGCAGGGTGCATGCAGGTGGGTAATCAAGAGGGCAGGGTGCATGCAGGTGGGTAATCAAGAGGGCAGGGTGCATGCAGGTGGGTAATCAAGAGGGCAGGGTGCATGCAGGTGGGTAATCAAGAGGGCAGGGTGCATGCAGGTGGGTAATTAAGAGGGCAGGGTGCATGCAGGTTGGTAAATAAGAGGGCAGGGTGCATGCAGGTGGGTAATTTAGAGGGCAGGGTGCATGCAGGTGGGTAATTAAGAGGGCAGGGTGCATGCAGGTGGGGCATGGGTTGGGGTTGGAAAGGGGATGGGCGCGGGTGGCATCCTACTGGATCGATGGCAAGGACGCCAGCAGCGTGCATGCTGCCACGGAAGCGCTCGACATGTCCAAGTGCATGCAGGTGCGGCATATGGGGGTTACTGTGTGGGAGGAGGTGGGGGGGTGGGGGGCGCGTGCATTCAGTGTGAGGGGGACGAAGAGAGTGCATACTGGATAAAGTGGTGGCAAGGACGCCAGCAGCGTGCATGCCACCAGGAAGGCGCTCGCCATGAGCAAATGCATGCAGGTGCGACATGGGGAAGGGGACGGGGAGGGGGAATGGGAGAGCATGTATGCAATGCAGTGCAGGTGTGCGTGCTTCCTTGCTTGCTTGAATCCGTCCCTGTGTTTGTGTGTGCATACATGCCTACCCCTTTCCCATCCCCGTCCCTGTGTTTGTGTGTGCATACATGCCTACCCCTTTCCCATCCCCGTCCCTGTGTTTGTGTGTGCATACATGCCTACCCCTTTCCCATCCCCGTCCCTGTGTTTGTGTGTGCATACATGCCTACCCCTTTCCCATCCCCGTCCCTGTGTTTGTGTGTGCATACATGCCTACCCCTTTCCCATCCCCGTCCCTGTGTTTGTGTGTGCATACATGCCTACCCCTTTCCCATCCCCGTCCCTGTATTTGTGTATGCATACATACAAGGATAAAAAATACGACCGTTTTTTTGCCTTTTTACCGTATTATACGGTATCGTATTAAACGGTCGTTTTAAACGGTAAAATACGGTTAATTTGTGTTTTTCTGTTTCGATTAAAAATACGGTTGTTTTAAACGACCGATTTTTTGAAACCGTGAAACACTATAGTGAGATTGTCAATTTGTCCCCCATACAATCTCAGGGTGAAATTGCGCACGAATTTATCGTGGCAGAATCAATTTCGGCCCGGGTCGCGAATTCCACCACACATTCGAGTCGCGACATTACGATGGCGAAACCAGGGATTACCTGTTTCGCTACAGCGAAATTTGTTTCGTCGAAGCGCAACGAGAATGTTATACCGAGTCGCGACATTTCAACATTTGGCGAACGGTTGAAACTAGTTCACCCGTTTCGCTATGCCCGTTTCGAAATCTCGCGCCCAATAGCTATTTTTCGCCCAAATCCTACACAAACCCCAACCTTCACGCGGCGCATCCAAGCCAGCCAATCGCCTTACATTTCCTCAACTCATCCCTCTCACACAATTCTCTCGACACAGCAAACACCAAAGCCCTAGCTAAGTACTAATAGAAGCACCATTCACTCACTTCAGCACTACATCTCTCAAATCTTCTCACCTCTCGTTTAGAGCAGGCATTCAGACGCCATGGTTCGACCGAAGTCGCCACTATGGGTTCATGTTGTGACGGAGGGTTCATCGAAGGACGGAAACCTCACTGCGAAATGCAAACATTGTGGTGAAACCGTGACTGCCAACGCGACGCGCATAATCGAGCATGTCTTCGGGACGCCAGAGACGAAGAAGGATAAGAACGTGACTCCCTGCAATTCTGATGTCGCAAAGAAGCTTCGCGAAGAAGCAGAGGAACAGGCACGCTCATCATTCGGTGGGTCAAACCGAGCCTCCACATCTACTACGGTTGAGATAGTTGCCCCTCGTCGCGCTAGGCAGCGCGACATCCGCGACATGGCGGATACGACTGCGCGCACTCGTCTGGACTACCTCTGGGCCGCGGCTGTTGCGGAGAACGATTGGGCCTTCCAGTCGTCGAAGTCGAGGGCGGTGCAGGAATTTGTTGATGCGGCTCTCGCCTTCGCGAAGCCATACACCCTCCCGTCCCCCTACAAGGTTGGAGGCCCGCTTCTGCTGAAATTACGGGCGGATACGGAGGAGCTAGCGAAGCCGATGATGGAGAGTTGGCTCAAGCGCGGCTGCACCCTGACGTGCGACGGATGGACTTGTTTGAAAAGCCGAGGGCTTGTTTGCGTTATCGCCCTCAACGACACGGCTCCGGTGATTGTGGAAACAATTGACTCGAAAACAGGCGGGTATCTTGCCAAGCTCCTCCGCAACGCCATTGTCAAGGTGGGGGACAAGACTGTCGTCCAGGTTGTCATGGACAACGCGTCTAATAATCGAAAGGCGGCAGACATTTTGCGCGACGAATACCCGGGCATCTTCTTCAACAACTGCGCCGCGCATGTACTCGACCTCATGCTTCACGACTTCGGGAAAATTCGTGCGGTGAAGCGGGTCATTAGCCAGGTGAACCGCGTGGTCATGATGGTGAAGGCAAGCGCCTCCGCCGTCACCCTCTTCCATGAGGTCTTTAACGAGCTTGCATTGGTGCGGCCTGGTGCAACGCGGTTTGGCACGAACGTCATCATGCTCGCCCGATTCCTCGAAGTAAAGAAGTCGCTGCGGCAGATGGTCATAAGTGAGGAGTGGGAGGACATTGCGGTGGCAAAGCAGCCGGAGGGGAAGGCGGTCCGACACCTCCTCTTGGATGAGGTGTTTTGGGATTGCGCAACCGCGGTGCTCCGCATCATGCAGCCCGTGTATGACGTCCTTCGGGTCGTCGACACGCGGGCTCTAGTCATGGGGCAAGTGTATGGCCTCATGCTAGAGGCCACGGTGAAGACCAACGAGGCGGCCCAGGCTGGAGGTAAGACATACATTTCCTAGCATGAACGCCATTGAGAGTCGTGATTGCATGCATACCCCATTCCTGCCCATACTTACCGCCCGTTATCGTGTTTGTACTTCCCATTGACAGCCACCATGTTTGTCAAGCGCACAGAATTGCTGCTGGCAAAGGACAAGCCCGCATTCCTGGCGGAAATCAAGGCTATCCTAGCCAAGAGGTGGGACAAACAGATGCATAACCCACTGCACGCTCTCGGGTGGCTCCTCAACCCCCGCAATCAGTACGTGGGGGAAGTGCGGGAGGATGAGGAGGTGAGGACTGGGGCGGAGGCGGTCATCCAAGCACGGGTGAAGGATGTCGCCCAGCGCACCCTCATCCAGGCGCAGTTGGCTCAGTTCCACAAGGGCGAGGGGCGGTTGGGGTCCCCCGACGCACGGTGGGCTGCTAAGGTTTTGGTGGAGGGGGGGCGCCTGACGGATGCTGAATGGTGGTGGATGTACGGCGGGGAGGTGAAGGCGCTGCAGTCGCTGGCAGTGATGAACCTGTCACAGCCGGTAACGTCATCCGAGGTGGAGCGTTACTGGTCCGCGATTGCTCGTGTGCAACGGCGTGACCGTAACCGCATCTCCGCCAAGAAGATGACGGACGTGACCTATGTCGCGTTCACGAGGAGGGCTCGGGCCACCTTTGACAGAAAGCAGAAGGTGAGGGAGAAGCTCTACGCCGATCTGACCAACGGTGCCCTCAAGGAAGGGTGTGTCGTCGCTCCGGCAGAGGAAGAGGCGGAGGAAGAGGGGGATGCTGAGGAGGAGGGAGAGGTGAATGTGGGATGCACCGTTGACTGGGAGCATTTCGGGCAGATTGGCAAGAAGAAGAAGAGGGTGGGTGAGAGCACCAAAAGGAAGAGGAAGGGCAAGGCGACCAAGCCTTGCAAAGGTAAGGGGAGGTCAGCGGCTGCGCGTGAGGATGAGGAGGAGGAGGCGGCGGACAGCAGTGGGGACGAGGAGGAGGAGGCGGCGGACAGCAGTGGAAATGTGGAAGAGCATGTGCCCACCACCAGGAGGACTCGGGGGGGCGAGGATCCGTGGGACATTAGTGATGGATCGAGCGGGGAAGAATCGGAGGAGGAGGATGACGAGGGGGAGGAGGGGGATGATGAGTAGTGGAGGATATTAGTGGTGGTAATACGTAGGGGTAGTGGAAAGAAGTTGGGAAGGGGAGTATTAGTGGTGGGGGGGGAGGGGAGGGGATGATCTGTAGACTGTATTAGTAGTGGGAGCTGATATCTATTGTTTTTTAGGCTAATGTGCACCCTCCATACCCGGCTGAAATCGTTTCAAGGATTTCGCAAAAAAGAAAAAACTGGAAAAAAACCTTTAATAAAAAAACGCCGTATTTTACCAAAAACTGCCGTAAAATACCATCGTATTAAACGGACCGTATAATACGACTTCCGTATTTTTCATCCTTGGTGTGCATACATGCCTACCCCTTTCCCATCCCCGTCCCTGTGTTTGTGTGTGCATACATGCCTACCCCTTTCCCATCCCCGTCCCTGTGTTTGTGTGTGCATACATGCCTACCCCTTTCCCATCCCCGTCCCTTGTGTGCATGTGGGCACAGGTGGATGGATTGCTTTCGAAACCCCGTAAGACCTGTGTGTCCCTGCTGTCTTTTCTGTATGTGTACGTACGTACGTGTGCGCAGGTGGATGGGGTGCTGACGTTTGAGTTCAGCCGCCCGCTGAAGCCGCCCGATTCGGACTGTGATGACAAGTGCAGCGTGATCGACCCCTCAGAGCCCCTCAAAGTCATCTGGGCATACGGACCCTCTTGGACCTCAGGTAATGCTGAGATGGCTGTGAGGGCCCTCTTGGATCTCAGGTGGGGTTTACTGCGACTGCTAGCAAGGCAGGTATTGCCCCTCCTGTGCAA